TGCTGCTGTTCCACCTGTTGTGTAGTGAAACATGAAATTCAGTTTCCGGCTTTCATTTGGTATCTTTTCTGAGCACTGGGTGCACGCTCAGTTTATAAAAGCCCCCCAGTTCTTCAAGTCCATAATTAAACTCCAGGTTTGTAATTTTTCTTTGCTATGGAAAGCCTTGCAGTTGTGACTCTTTAGGTTCACCTGGGAAAGGGTTAGATGATAGACGTTTCTGATTTAATGAGCAGGTTTCACGTTAAATGTTGCCTGATTCTGAATCTCTTATCAAGGTGGAGACTGTTCCAAGAACAGAGACTATTAAGGACAAGGAAGCTGATTTCCTTCAAGTTAGTTCCTATATGAAAAGTTTAATTATGTATAGTGAAATGAGTTTTAAGAATGAGGTGATTGTGTAAAATTAAATTACTTAGTTTTAAAAAAGCAAGATACTAAGACCTAAAGAAAAACACTGCTGTTTGCTTCTTATACACAGATGACTTCCGTAGTGTGAAATAAACTTTAAGTATTTTAAAAGGCATAAAAATAAATACAATAGACTAATTGCTAAATGAGATCATCCTGGGGACTTGATCGCTTAAGTTACGACATTGCTACACATGAAAAGTAGGGACAGAGCCGCAGATGGACTAGATCTTTTGGCCAATGTTGGGTTGAATGAGACTTTTGATATCTCAGCCATACTGAAGAAAGTTAAATTCCTCTCCTTCGTATCTTTTTGTTGCTGTTATTTATTTTTACTTATTTATTTGAACTGTAGCTACAGTTAGAAAAGGTTTCCTGGGATTAGAAAGTGTAATTATTTAGGTAGCAAAAAGTTGTTTTAGAAATTTTACTATCATTAGGAGGAAGCTTTAAAAGGCTGGAATTCCATTGTCTTGTAAGGAGTAAGAAATATTTATTGATTCCCAAATGGAGCTGAAAAAAACCTTTCCTCTTTTAGAAAGTTGTGAATGACCCAGCGAGAGCTCTAGTAAGCTTTACTGAACCAAGCTGCTAATAGTTATTTAATGTTATTCTTCAGTGTGAAAGAATCTCCCTAGATTTTCCTTTTAATCTCTTTGAATTGCAGGCTCATAAACCTCTCTGATGAGTCCTGCCAGTGTTTTCTTAGATCCCACCGTTGAGACAAAGGAGCCACAGAATTCTTTCACCTCTTGTTGTCAGACAAATCCAATAGAACACAAGGTCAGAAGGGCCTGTACTTCTAAAGGTTGAAAGATTCTTTTCCAAGTAACCACGTAAATTATTTGGTTTTATCATTATATTCCTCAGGAATCTCTCTTTATAATGCATTGCTTTCTGTATGTAAATAAATTTGGATCTTTTTCTCGCCTCCATATTTGCCTAAGCTTTGATACAACACGGGGTATGAATGAACATGCCCACCTTAGGAAAGGCTGAGCCCATTTACTTCAAAAGAACTAGGAATCATGTAGTGTAATTGGACTTAAGATAGAGTGCCCAAGTGCCACGCATTGCATTTTCTTTCCAAATGGCTGGGTTTGTGTGTTTTTAAGTTGTTACCATTTTGGGGCTAAGATTCCAGATTTAAATCTTGTATCTCTTCTTTTAATTAAATCACTTTCTAAGTCAGTGTATGTTTTCTCAACATTTTTACTAGTGTCATGTTAACAGGAAAACTGAGATAGAATTTACATTTTTGGATACCTATTGAAATAATTTCATTGTAATGAGCAAAAATATTTATAATATGTAATACTTGAAAGAAAAGAAACTTCTCTATTTTGCAGATGCCATGCCTGATTAGTAGACAATTATCAAAGCTAATTACTGGGTTCCTGTGCGTTACTTTACAGGCTAGGGAGGAATTAGGTTTTCTAATTATAACTACAATGGTGGACAAGCAGAGATCATTGTTTAAAAAGAGAAAAAAAACATTGATTTGTTTGTGCTCCTTCCTTGTAATCGTAGTTAGGGGGGGAAGTTGCTGTTGCTCCATTCCCTGGACACCTGCCTCTCAACAAAGGCTCGTGGTCACCTCCCCACCCCCTACATTTAGATTCACCTTTTACTTGTATGTAACCCCTCTGCTCATTATACAGTTCTCCAGGGATCCAATTTTCCTTGAGTTAATCACCCCCAGCCTTTCTCAGAAGTTGTTAGATTACTGTCTTTTCAAGGAATACACACTTTCTTAGGAGGCTTTTAACTTCTTTCCCCTAACTTTTGTTTCCTTATTTCTATTAAAAAGTGTAGCTCTTGGGGCCTCAGCACACTACCTTTAAAACTTTTTGTTGAAATGTATCATACATGCAGAGAAGTGCGTCAATCCTAAGTGTCCAGCTTGATGGATTTTCACAATAAACCCACATATCTAACAGCACCCAGAAGGCCCCCTGTGACTCCCTGTAGTCACTGTTTCCTCCCACACCCAACCCCACAGTGTCACACAACAACTCGGTAGTTTTGGCTGTTATATTTCATATAATGGGGGATCGAATAGTGTGTTCTCTTTTGTGTCAGATAGGATTTTAAAGCCAGAATCCCCACAGAAACTTGGACTGTTGTGTCCGCATAATATTAAATAATCAGATCAAATATATAGATGTTTAGACAGCCACAGAACATGAGAATATTTTTAAATATAATTCTTTTAACTCTGACCTTGAGCAGAATACTAAAACCATTTTTGCACTGTTTTCCCTCTTACTATGAGATATCACCTAAGTTGACCTGTCAACAATAGGTAGCTAGTCTAAAGTTATTGTACATAAAGAAGAAAAAATAAAAAAATGTAAAGGCCACTTTTTTTTGAGGAGGTGGAATAATAGAAAGGGGTTCCATGTGAAGTAGTAACTAGGTGAGCATGACAGTAGCTTCCTAGTAGAGAAGCACAGCAATATGAAGCTGACTTCCTTGGCAGTTATCTTTGCCAGTTATTTCTCATTTATTATTTTCAAATAGAAATAGCATAATAAACATATATGAATGAGTTGTCTTTGTGTAATTGCTGTATTGCAGGTGTTCAAGATAGGTTAGATTAAGGCTTATTCATTTTGTCATTACCTCTGATTTGCTTTAATTGATTTCAGAATTACTTAAGATATCGATCAGATACCCGGGAATAAAGCCAACTTTGTAAATTATTTACATCTGTTTTTTCCCTAGCTACAGTCTTGTTAAGTGCCAATTACCCCCTTTTTTAAATCTAAAACAGTGTTTCATTTCCCCATTCAAGCAAACTTACCTTTGTCATCCTAAGACATTGAAACATATGATTAAGATTTTTTTTTTCCCTAACCATGGGACTTTTAGGGAAAATTTTTAAAAAACTAAAATACTGAATAACCTACAACCAAGTGTGCTTTATATAGAATGTGGAAATTGTTTTGCTCAGAAATTACTTCGCATACTGATACAGTCTGCATAAGCTCTTCAGTGGGCACACAGGGATGGAGGAACTGCCCCCGAACACTGGGCAGAGTCTTTACTCTTTGGATTTTAGGGTCAGTTTAATAGACTGTTGGTACCCAGGAAATACGAAGTGATCTAATATTTGACATACTTAATAGAAAACCACAGTGAGTTCAAAATATTGTATAATTTTTTCATCTATTTTAAAATTGTGTAACTCACCAATAAATTTTGAACAGGCAGTTATTAAATATAATTAAATTGTAGGCATTCACACAACGGAACAAAGGAATGCATTCTCAGCAAGTGAACAAGAGACTAGTGAGACAGCTAAAGAAAATTTCATTGGGGTGAGGGGTGGATTTTAGTAGTTTCTTTTAAGCATCGACTTCTAGAAGAACAATACAAGCACACATGAAGTGTAACATGCCTTTAAAAACAAAGACAAGTGCTTATCTGTAGTGCTTTCTTTGTCCCAAAGTATACTGGTTTTAAAGAAGAGTATATGCTTCTACTACCTGAACTATATATACTCTGACTCAGTTTAGGTAGAATTCCAGGCTCTTTTGGACCTTCTACCTGTAGGGAAAATTATGGCCTAGGCAATAGCAACAGAACATCAACACAGTACAGTTGTATTATGTGGTTATTGAGACCTTTGCCAGTAAGTCTTTAAGTTACTTATTCCTCTGCTTGCAAGCAGTTAAAACTCAGATGACTAGTAGCCCCTTATATTTGGTAAGACCTTTATTCTTTAAGGCACTTTAAGCCTGATCTCATTTGATTAGAACATCACCCTGGTATTAATCTGCTCTGAGCAAATTCCATAGACTGGGTGGCTTAAAGAACAGAAGTTTATTTCTCATAGTTCTGGAGGCTAGAATTCCAGGATCAGGGTGCCAGCCAATATGGCTCCTGGTGAGGGCTCTTTTACTGGCTTGTAAACGGCCTCTTTCTTGCTGTGTCTGTATTTGATACTTTCCTTGGTGCCTGGGCATGGAGAGAGGGACCCCCTCTCTTCCTCTTCTTATAAGGCCACCAGTTCTATCAGATTAAGACCCCACTCTTATGATCTTATTTAACTTTAATTACCTTCTAAAAGGCTTATCTCCAAATACTTCAGCATATGAATTTGGGAATGGGGACACAATTTAGTCCACAACAACCTTTCTGAAGTAGCTAAGAGATAACTCATTATAACTAAGGTATCTTTCTAATGTTAGAAAGCTAGTAAAATACAACTCAGGTGCAAATACAGTTATTTTTGCCCAACTCCATCTTGCCTTGCTTGGTTACAGGCATAGTTTATCTGGCAAAAAAAAATTCCCTCTCTCTCTCACAAAAATAGGGTTTACTAGTTAATCACAGGGAATCATCAAAACCACCTTCATGATTTTTGCATGTTGCATATTTGTGGAAAGTGAGATAGTTTTGACTGTTGAAGTTCCTAAGAAGTGGACTACAAGTCAGCCTTAAAACTGTTGTCAAAAGTAGTAAACAGGTTTTAAATGGTAAGTAAATTACAACTGTAGTCACTGGGCTGCAGTTGCCTTTTCAGTATTCTTCATGGTTATAATTAAAGTGTCAAATTAAGTGTCTCATTTTATATTTTACAGAAGACGATCTAAGAAATATGGGACCAGTAGATGCCCAAGTATATCTTGAAGAAATGTGTTGGAACGAAGGTTGGGATTATTTCTCTTGACTACAGTAAAGAAAAATATTAGAGATTTTCTTTAAGAAAAACTCATAGGATATTTGGAAATCTTCAAAAATAGTAATAGCTTGGCTTTCTAGATTATACATACGTGGGTAGTTTTAGAAATATTTTTTTCGGGGATCCCTGGGTGGCGCAGTGGTTTGGCGCCTGCCTTTGGCCCAGGGCACGATCCTGGAGACCCGGGATCGAATCCCACGTCGGGCTCCCGGTGCGTGGAGCCTGCTTCTCCCTCTGCCTGTGTCTCTGCCTCTCTCTCTCTCTGTGACTATCATAAAATAAAAAAATAAAAAAAAAAGAAATATTTTTTTCATTCTAAACTTCAATTATTGATGTCCCCCTGTATGACTCATTTCCAGTTTTTTTTCTAATCTAATTAGATGTTAGGTAATAAGGATTTCATGAGGTTTTCTTTTTTAAATTACTTTGGGTTTTGGTTCACTTTCCATCTGTGTAATAGAGTGAGAGAGAGCATGTGAGAGTGAGCATGTGGGGAGGGAGAGGGACAAGCAGACTCTGTGCTGAGCCAGAAGCAGGGGCTGGATCTCAAGACCCTGAGATCAGGACCTGAGCTGAAATCAAGAGTCAGACACATTTTAACCAACTGAGCCATCCAGGCACCCTCTATTACTAGAACTTTACAACTTACATCTTAATTTCTCTACTCTTCTGAATTGCTCTGGTTAGACACTTCTTCTAAATAGAACCCATGAATACCACACATCCATGTTTCTCTGGGAAATGAAGAAAATCTTACTATTTTCTAGAATTTTTATATACTTTAGCTATTTATTCAGCCTGGGGTAAAAATTCCTTAGGGGTTTATAAAAAAAAAAATCTATGAATGAGTGTGTATAGGTAGAAGATAAACAGCCCATCCTTCCTGAAACCAAATTTACTGGAATATTTTCTTTATGGCAAATTTTTAACTTGGTGCTTTTAGGAAGGTGAATCATAGGCTATTGACTTAGGAGGAGAATCACGTTTTTGCTTATGGGTCACTCAACTCCTAAACTGAAATGAAATCCTAGAATGTAAATTCTTATTTGCAGTGAATGATTGAGAAACTTGAGGCTTTGTGTAATTGGGTTTAATAGTTTCATCAGAGGAAACAAGAGAACTGCTATGAAAATAGAAAATACTAGTGGCATAGTAAGCTTTTGAAAGGCTTCTAGTTCATGAAGGGGACAGACTAGAATATAACATGTCATTTCTCAAGGAGACCTGCCCAACTAAATATATTTTTTGAAAATATAGTATTGTTGCCTCATCAACTCGTATCATGTGTGTTTAATCTCTTCTTAGACAAATTAGTTTTTTCTGTAGTTGATTTAGTTAATATATTTTGTTTCCTAATGACCCCCTATATGAAAATAGCCAAAATGGTTTTTGCATTTTTTCCTTCAGTAGCCTTTTAAAAATATAAGATTTTAAATTCATGTGGATTGGTGGTTTAAGCTTCTATTGAGTTAGCAAATACAATGAGCTTTCTGATCATGTGAATAAAACAAGATATTGAAGGAAATGTACAACATGAAATCGTCAGGTTATAAATGTGTTACTGTCCTTGGGATTTCCTTAAGTAAACCTGACAGTGAAGATATAGAAGAATCCTAATCACAGCCAGTAAATTAGTTCTTAGAAGCTAGAGTTAATCTGAAAGTATAGGACATCCTTAGATGCTTAATTAAGACTTTTTTTTATAAAGATGGAAATAAGCCTTATTCTTGTGAGAGAAAATACTGAGCAGGGAACAGCTGCATGAAGCCATTATTTCTGCAGGGATATTTACAAAATAGTAGTAAGTTTTGCGATTGAATTTGCAGTTTTGAATTGTTCTTTGAAATTGAAAAGAGCAGTCTTGGCAGATGAAAATTCAAGAAAAAGTGCAATCAACTGGACAAATAAAAAATTGTTTGAAGATTCCTTCGTAGGCATTTCCAGAATAATCTTGGAAAGTAAAGATCCAGAGCAGGAGAAAAGTGAATGAAACCCTACATGATAGACATAGCCAAATTACCATCTTCTTGATCCAAGGACAGTATGAAACAATGCATTTTATTATGCTTAAAAGGCATCCCTGAAGAACTGTTGAGAGAGTGGTTAACCTTTCCCCTTAGAGTTAGTCTGTTTTACAACTTGGTTATTTTGTCTTGAGTGTATTTAAAATGATTTCTGTGAAGATATCACTTTGTTAAGTGATAGAATAATAGAAGAAGCAACATAACAAGATGTGAATTTTTAGTGAGCATTAACATTTGGAATAATCTATGACAAAACTCCACAGTAGCCCATGGTGGCCTCTGCATCATTTACTGAGCACATGTCACCTCAAATTGTTTCTCAGTGTTCACTGAGGTGGTAAAAAAAACAAGAGGAAGATTTAGCTTAAGAAAACCAATGGTTAGAATATGTACATTTTTAGACAATAATAAAACAATTCACTTTTGAAAGCATCCTCTACTATAATATATATGATTGGCTCAGACAGGAAAGATGTTACTTAGCATTTTAAAATTAAAGATTAAATTATTTTTCTTTATGGGCAAAAAAGGCATTGTAATGAAAAATAAGAAAGATTGGGTGAATGAATTACTTCCTTACTGGTAAAAGAAACATGTAAAGTTGGCTTGTTAATTTTTCCAAAGGTGAATTTGATTAGAGAACAAATATAAAGCATTTGAATTTTTTTTTAGTGACATATGATGAAATCTGAGTGTTAAAAAATGAAGTTTGAGAACTGAATGAAGATATTTGATGTATCTCTAATAAAAAGTTATGACTGTAGTACAGTAAGGTGATCAGTACTTTTCTTTGATAGTCACTTCATAGTGACTGAAATGGAATGACCAGTGGATCAGAGATTGTTTCAGTTAAAGGACATGAGCATTTCAGCTTCCCAAGAAGACAGTAGACTTAATAATTTCCACCATAAGTAGGCTAAATGTTGTGCCATAATCCCTTCTATTGGGCATCTCACTTAATGGAAATAGTTATACTAGAACAGAGTATTTAAATGTTGAATGTGATAAAGTTAAATTAGAGTTTTCTCTAAAAGAATATACTCTAGGCAAAAGCATTTTGCCTTACAGGAAAACATGTAGGGCTATTTGTCTCTTTCCTTCACAGTAGTATTTTGGACGAATACATTGTTGAGAGGAATGTAAAATTTATATGGATCTATATAGAAAACAGCAGACTTTAAGGAAATGTCTTGGGTCTCTTCTGAGTATCTGTTCTCCTCAAGATCTTTAGGCTGTTGATTCATAGCTTTAGTCCTCTACAGATTAAGATTCTTTGGTACATAATTTTTAGAAACACTGCCCCATACAAGAAGTTTTTTAAGTTCTCATTTAAATATGTTTTATACTTACTGAATGTCTTTCTGTTTTGCAGTTTCTAAGAGATGAACTGCATTTTCAACACCTTTTAGAAATGTTACTTAGAAGCATTGGAGGCATTATTTTGGTCTTTTCTTTTTTTTTTTTTTTTAACAGATGATCACTCTTTTTCTCTGAGTTGCCGATGTGGTGGAAAATACAGTGTTTCCAAGGATGAAGCAGAAGAAGTTACCCTGATTTCTTGTGATACATGTTCACTAATTATAGAACTCCTTCATTATGGCTGAAATTGTTCACTAAGTGGGATCCTTTAACTGTGTATTCAGACACATTGAAGAGAGCCCATTCAAGTAAATGTATAAAGCTGATAAAAAAGGATTCTTTTTTTTGTCAGCTCTTTTATTTGTAGACAAAGTATAAGACTGTCAAGCAAGGGCCACCCCAGATTAATAGAAAATTAATTTAGTTATATGTATTTATAATTTATATTTATAAATCAGCCAAAAAGGGACTTGAATTATAAATTATATTTTGTGAATTCCCATTTGAGAACTTTGTTATTTGGTCCATTTTTCTCCTTGGTACAAAAATAAGAATTTTCCTTTTCTTTAAGCATGTCCCCTCTTGTAATGGGTCACAGTATCATCATGTTCCTTTATAGTTAGTAAGTTTCTGAAGTAACAGGACATTTCTAGCTGCTAAAGTCATGGGCGTATTGTACAAGTATCAAAGTCTCAGGTCATTAGGAGTAAATTAGAATCTTTGTTGAGTATCCTATCAGCCTAGTTCTCCCATAATAAGGGCTAGATATGGATATTCATGAAGTTATTTCAAAGTTAATAAAGAAGGTAAAGTGGCAACTACCGAAAGGATAGCTTTGGAGTCAAGAGTCAAAACACTTGACTCCAGTTCTGGCACTGTATTTCCAGATTCTTTGTGTGGCTATGTTAAAGTGAGTAAGGCTTGAACACTCTCATCTTCTACTTTAAATGTAACTGAGGAAATGGTAGCTTTTAAAAAATTGATTTTTTAAAGGTTTTATTTATTTATTCATGAGAGACACACAGGCAGAGACATAGGCAGAGGGAGAAGCAGGTTTCGTGCTGGAAGCCCGATGTGGGACTTGATCCAGGAACCCCAGGATCGCACCCTGAGCCAAAGGCAGACGCTCAACCACTGAGCTACCCGGGCGTCCCCCCAAAAATAGTTAGAAACATGAATTACTTTCCTTTTTATTGCAAAGTACTAATTATTAATTCTTGTATTTATGAATAAGGACCCACTGTGTTATTGGTATGATCAAATGGACATGTATAATGTTATTATAATGGATTAACGATTTTATTTTTCTCTATATTTGATACTCTATGTACAGTATAAGTCAGAACTCATTAAAAAACATGAAGAATCCTTTATGGGATCACTGGAACTTTTTTACTTAATTTCAAATGAGTGAACCAAACATGTGACTAAACAGCTTTTTATTAGGTCGAACTCAGGGTATTTACCATTGTTTTATACTTAAAAGACTAGTTACTACTCTGACTTGTAAATGTAGCAAAAGTACAAGGCATATTCAAGAAAAGATGACTCATAGCTATAAAACCAAAAATTCAAAAGTGAGGTTGTCATCCAGGTTTTTTCCTTAAAAATATTTTTATATCACAAAATATATATAACTTATTTTGGATTACATTTTTATCCATCTATTTGGAACTAATAGAGCTTGTGGTTTGTGTTGCTTATTCTTTACATTTAACAATTAAAAATGACTAAAACTAAATAGCAAATAGTTTATTAGTTAGTACATGGTTTCAGTGGCAATAATAAATTCACTTGAATAGGAGAGAATAGTCAAAAGAATAAATGCTAATCATCAGAAAATCTGTGGCCATTAGGACTGTCACGTAGAAATCCAAAATCACTCAGAGGCCAAATCTGTAAAATTAAAATGTGATTGAAGACAATTAATGAAAGTTTTGTATCCTCATCATATTCCCCTTTTTTATTCATCCCTTTTCTCTATGCCATATAATTAAACACTTTCTCCTTATTTTCCTTATTTTTTAGTCAAGAACAAATTCTCTATATCAAAGTGAGACTTTAGAAAGTAAACTTGTATATGTATGTATTTAAACTCCAAAGTATGGAACACTGATGTTCTACAAGGAATTATGTATGTGTGGTATATGAATATGTAGGAGTATGTGTGTCTGTGTTTTCTTTTACTACCCTCAAAATGAAGTATAAACCTAAGTATTTGAATATAATATCTGCATATGTGTAAAGAATCCTGAAAATAATCTGACAGCCCCAGGTATTCATGTGTTTTTCTTCTTATTGCTTGTGGCGAAAAGGAGGAGCCAGTGAAAATAATCATCTTTCCTAACAGTCCTACATTTATTGTAACAATGGTAAGTCCATTACTCAATGTATCTCACTGGGATATTCCTGTTTAACAGTGTTGTTTGACTACACTGCTCTTCCGCAAATATATATTAATATATGCCCGAGATGTGAATATAGTTGGAAAAATTGTATGAGAAAGAATTGAATTCTGGAGATTTAAATTAAAGGCTTCTTATAGCTAAGATAGTTTGAACTTTATTATTCAAACAAAAAAATTACTCTTAATTACTTGTCTCAGTGGGGAAAAGGGTAATGTTTACAGCTGTGAATGAAGGCCAGCATGTCCATAAAATGCAGTCACTGCAACAGTTAAGTCCCGACAGCCTGAAAATTTCAAAATTCATTTAGATATTGTTTCTTTTTTTCCCAGCTCAGAGAAGAAAACCTTGTGTTTTAAGCAGAAAATAATACCTTGAAAAAGATACGTCCTCTTATTAGTCCATATGGAATAGGTCCATAATACCTGGAATCTGTAGAATTCTGTAGATTATCACCTTCTAACCAAACATGACCTGTCGGCACCTAGAATTAGAGAAAGCAGCCCCTTTAAAAAAAGAAAAAACAAACAAATTTGGGGACTATAAATAAAAAAGCATGTCTTCTGATCATACGGAGAAATATCGTAGAGCTCTTGTTTATAAAATACATACCCTATGATTTGTATTTTTGCTTTTGTTTCTTGCACAATAAAATATATTTACCAAATATCAGTAAGTAAAGTTTTCAGTATTTTAAAAGACCTATCTTTTTTTGCCACATGGTTCGCAAACATTAATTTGTTACACAAACCCCAAACTGAGGTTATAAGAGATCAAAACAGTGTGACAGGGTCATTAATTTAATAGACTTCAAAAGAGGTCATTAGGATGCTGACTGAAAATGTGCCCTCCTGTCTCTAGAACAGCAGAAGCAGGGCAGCCACTCACTCAGCAACATCCTGGGGCCAGTACCAAGGCCAGACCTATTAGAGTGCTCATGATGAACTAAATGGTAATTGATTGTGACATCAATTACAAATAATCTCATCATTTTATTGGAGTGGGCTTGTCAGAATTCTAATTAAGATCCCTGTTCTGCCTTTGTACAGGCCATATCTTCAGTGCATTATACTTCAATAATGACCATCAGGAACTAGAAGGGCCTATTATAAAATCATCAGTTGTAAAATTAATGATGGTGACCTTCTACTAAATTGAAAGATCCTATCTCCTATGTGTCCTATGTATAAACTGATAAATAACGTTTACGTTTTTATTCAACATCAACCATAAGAGTATTTAGAACATGCTACTTTAAAAAGATGCACTCTGTGATATGAAACATTTGTCCATTAATCTGTTCCATATACACCTAACAAATTACTCTGCAGCAATAATCCTTAAAGTAGCATTTTACAAGTTATCTTACAGTTTTTGTTATGTAAGTTGAATTACTGACCAGACCAAAATGATCTACTGTGAAGGAATTTATTTTCACTTTTCTTTTAACTGGCTATTATTTGGGGACCATAGTGAAGAAAAATACTCCTACTGGGTTAACTAAGAAATGACTGCAGTTTTACAAAATGTTAAAAATTATTTCTTTTTAAAGACTTGATATTTTAGAATAGTTTTAGGTTCACAGCATGACTGAGAGGAGGGTATGGAGATTTCCCACCAGTCTCCTGTCCCCACACATGCATAACCTCCCCCACTCTTGACATCCCCTACCACAGTGTATATTCATTATACTTGCTGAACCCACATCAACATCATAATCACTCAGTCCAGAGTTAACTTTAGGGTTCACTCTTGGTGTTGTAAATTCTATGGGTTTGGATAAATGTATAACATGTATCCATCATTATAGTATCAGAGTATCTTCATTGCCCTAAAAATCCTGTGTGATGTACCTGTTATTCATGTCTCAAGACCCTCACAACCCCACCCCCCATATTACCTTCTACAAAAACAAATGTATATAAGCATGTAAAATCCAAATTTCTTTCTTTTTTTTAAAGATGTATTTATTCATGAGAGACACAGAGAGAGAGGCAGAGACACAGGCAGAGGGAGAAGCAGGCTCCCTGCAGGGTCTCCAGGATCACGCCCTGGGCTGCAGGTGGCGCTAAACCGCTGAGCCACCTGGGCTGCCCATCCTTTTTTTTTTAAATCCGAATTTCACTTTACATCAGAGACTATATAATTTTGGAATTTCTTATGTAGAAATATTTGCCCAAAACAAATCAATTATTTTCATTTAGATATACTTAAATGTTAAATCTATTTGTAGGGAAAGAAGAACTTAAGTTTCCTGAAAAGAGTATCAGATGTGATAAGATCACTCTTATTAGTGGAACTAGTTACAGATTTTAGGGCCAAAAGCAAGACTAATTCCTATCTACATAAGTGGATTTATGAGCAGTGAAGCTTAATATTGCTCAGGTAGAAAAAAGAACCCATCTAAGGTCAGATGAGAAAAAAAAGAAAGAGTGTATTTGGAAAAGCCAGCTATCAACAGTCTCAAGTGCCACTATGAGAGAAGCTATGGGATATCTTATGTTTAAATTTCCATAGTTTCTCCTTAATATGTGTTTGTTTCTGAGTTCTAAAACTAGGTAATAGGGGATCTCTGGGTGGCTTGGCGGTTTGGCGCCTGCCTTTGCCCCAGGGCGCGATCCTGGGGTCCCGGGATCAAGTCCTGCGTCGGGGTCCTGGGATCGAGTCCTGCGTTGGGCTCCCGGCATGGAGCCTGCTTCTCCCTCCTCATGTGTCTCTGCCTCTCTCAATCTCTGTGTCTATCATGCATAAATAAATAAATCTTAAATTTTTTTTAAAAGGTAATAAACAGGATCCAGTATACATTCCATTTCTTCATGAAGCATTCCCCAACCTTGCCTGCCTACACCAAATATCCTTAACTGTTTAGAGCAATTAACCATATAAAGTCTGCCCTGCCCTGGGGCCCTGGATTGTAACCTCTTACTAACCTGTTTGGCTTTTGTTTAAGTCTATTTTATGACCACATAAGCTAATAGACAGTAATCACATCATGATCTTAATTCTATACAACACCTAAGCCAAAACTGGAACTCAGATATTTGGTGATAATATTAATGTAAGTAGAAATTCTTGTAAAGCACAATCACTTTTGTATGACCTAAGTTTCTTCCAAATTAGCAAAATAAAGTGACAAAGTGTAATCTCTGGTACAATAAAATTAACAGGTATAGAAAGGAATCTGCTAAGAGAAACCCAGAACATATTACCAGAAGTTTTTGGAAGAGTATGACCCAGGGTATCCTGACCTTGTTCTTGATCACAAGGGGTGGAACATAGGAAGTCAACAGTAGTGCAAACCAGTATATATCCGGTTTACTTAATTAAAAAACAAAACAAAATTCCACTGACCCTTAAAACCACCTGTGAAGTACTATTATTGATAGAAGTAGGTTCAAATATGGGACATGCTAGCTCCCATTTATCTGAAGGCTATACATTCTAATAGCCATGCAGCCATTTATATATCCTCTACATTTCACATACTTCAATGCTTGATATAAAATACACAAATCAAGGAAACCACCTCATCACTGCCTTAACCTGTCAGTTACTCAGTTTCCAGTAAAAAATTCGTAATGAAATTATTACACTGAATTTTGGTAATACAGTAAGAGTATACAGTTTAAAAACCAATTTTTAGAGGTATACTTTATATACAATAAGTGAATACATATTTCAGGTTTGACACCAGTTTTGGAAAATGTGTACACCTATGTAAACTTCTAATCCCAATCAAGATGTAGGACATTTTTATCATGCTAGAAAGTTCCCCCCTCTGCCAGTCAACCTCCTATACCTGGTACCAGGCAACTAGTGAGATCTGTTACTAGAAACGAGTTTTTACCTGTTTCTACATTGCATATAAACAAGACTGTACTATACAGATTTTTGTGTCTGGCTTTTGTTCATTTTTTAATGAGTAATCCAGTTGCATGTATCAGTCATTCATTCCTTTTTCTTTCTAAGTAGTATGCTATCATAAATCACAATGATTGCCCATCAATCTGTTGATGGATATTTTTCTTTGCAGTTGGCTGTTAATTACTTCAGGCATACTATAAGGCGTGATATTCTGGGATCTCCGTTGAATGTGTTGGATATTCAGTGAGCTCCGTCCACTTTGGCTGCCCTCAACCCTTTGTGAGCTCTGGGGATTGCTGAACTCCCCACTCATTCTTTGCTCAGTCTCTAGGTTTCACTATTAAGCAGGCACAATTTAGTACTCATTTCAAAAGCCAAAGGAGCACGTGAGGAGATTGGTGATTGGTAGCTGTTTTCCCAGGTAGTTTGATCCATTACATTCCAACCACTTATACTTCCCTCTATCTCAATCTCTGTCTCTCCAACTCAGCAAAACCACTGTGCTTGAATTTTACCTCAGTATCTTCTGAAAGACCTGACTTACAGAAGAAATTGGTGCAAGTATAGGGCTTGCCTTGTCTCCCCTTTTAGGGATCCATCCCATACTTCTGCTGTGCAATCTCTGACAACAGTTGTTTCACATTTTTGTCCAATTTTCTAGTTCTTTATGGCAGGATGGCAAGTTCAGTCTCAGTTACTTCATCATTACCAGAAACAAATTATCTAATTTTTAAGTCTTTATTATTTTTCTTAGCATACTTCATAACAATATGAAGAGAATCCTTTTGGTAAGAACTGAAAGTTTTGATGTAAGTTAAGGGTGCCTTTGGCATCTCCACCTTGTGTCCCTTTCACGTGCATCCCATGCATGGTTTTGTTCTACCCTTTCCCTATCAAAATCTCTAGAAAAGATCTAACAAACTCAACACACAATTATGTATAAATAAGGTTCACTATGGTATTGCTTGTATCTCAAAATTGGCAAAAGCATAAATATTCCTCAGTAGGTAGGGATTAGATGAAATATGGTTTATATAATAGTAAACAACTGGTTAAAAAAAACTAGTAGATTTACATGAATACCATCAGTGAAAAAAGTAAGTTGCAGGGCAATACGTATAAATGTTTAAAAGAAACCCACAAAACCTATATATTTCAAAATTTATATTTTTATGGCCAAGTATACTAAGATAATTTAAAATATATATATAAATCTTCAACTTACCATGGAGTTATGTCCCAATAAACCCATCATTAGTGAAATTTAGTTGACTCTTGAACACAGAGGTTGGGGGTGCTAACCCCTTTAGTCGAAAATTCACATATACATTCTGTCTCCCCAAAAACTTAACTATTAATAATCTGTAGACAGGAAGCCTTATTATGGACATAGTTGATTAACACAAATTTTATTGTTATATGTATTATATACTGTATTCTTAAAATAAGCTAGAGAAAAAATGTTCATTAAAATCTAAGGACAAAAAACTAGAATTACTGTACTATAATATAAAAAATCCACATATACATGGACCCATGCATGCAATTCAAATCCCTGTTGTTCAAGGGCCAACTGTATTGTAAGTCAAAAATGCATTTAATATACCTAACCTACCAGACATCATAGTTTATTTAGCGTAGC